GGGATATAGAGTATAGTGTAAGGAATGTAGTCAATAATATTGTAATAACTATATATGGTGTCATATTGGTACTAGATTTGTTGGGGTGATAAATGGGAGGCCATTAGGGGGGCAGGGCAAAAAAGGTGAAGAGATTAAGACGTACAAACTAGTAGCTACAAAATAGTCATGGGGATGTAAAGTAAAACACAGGGAATATAGTTAATAATATGGTAATAACTATATGTAGTGCCAGGTGAATACTGGACTCATCAGGAGGATCATTTCTTCAATTATGCAAATGTCTAACCACTATGCTACACATCTGAAGTAAATATAAAAAATATTGAATGTCAATTGTAATCAAAAAAATTAAAAACGAGGGAAAAGATGAAGAGGAGTAAGAGGTCCAAATTTCCAGGTATAAAACAAAGAAGTCATGGGGATCTAATGTACAGTATGGGGAATATTGTCAATAACTGTGATAGTGTGATATAGTGTAGATGGTTGCTGGACGTATCATGTGATCACTTCTTCAGGTATATAAATGTTGAATAACTATGCTGTACACCTGAAACTAATATAATATTGTATATTAGCTATAGTTTAATAAAAAAAAATCTTTAAAAACATAAATTGAGGGGGGAAAAACAGGAGTTAAAAACCAAGAACAACAAAAAATAGGAACTAGTCTTGTTATTTGAAATAAAAGTTTTGTAGTAGTTATCAACAGCATTTCCACTGACATAGCAGAAGCTTACTACGGATTAGAGTTTATTTTAAGCACATACCTGTATGAGCTCATTATCTCCTTCAATGGTACTGCCAAGAATAGTGCCAGAATTCCAAAGAAATACAACTGACAGAGAGAGACCCACTCTTCATGAACAAGTACAGGGTTTCATGTGATTTTTGGTTGTAGGATAATCAGGGGTCTGAGCATCTGAGCCACTTGGTGAAAGGTGTTATGATCTTATAGAGAGAAAGACAAGCTTCTGGCTGTCTGACAGCCTATTTTGCTACCTTCTCTTCTCTCCTGCTTTAGAAGAGGGCATATTAATCAGATTGATTAGGTGATGTATGCTAGTTTGGGCATGTTTATAAGTGGGCAGGTCACTGTGCATTAAAGAGCCCTGGCACCATTGTGTATCTTTTATTTTTCCATGTAGCTGGGGTGAGTGGATACAAGGCCTGCGGTCCTGGGGCAAGTCCTTCTATCGCTCTGTTTTTGCAGGCATCCTAATTGTACTAATTGTTATTTCAGTTTACTGTACATTACATCTAATAAGAAAGTGATAAAATATCAAGAGATGAATTCTGGATAAGGAAGGCAGAGATTCTGTTTAGATATAAAGCCTAAAATATATGTTTCATTCTAACGTTATCTGAGTTCCACATTGGGGGAGCATTGAGCTCTGGCCCACTTATCATCATAATGGCATTGTGATTTTAATCTGCAACTGCTCCTTGTATATCTCTCTGGAGAGCCAGCTGGGATGAAAGACACTGGAAAAACAGGATTTACACACTCATAAATACCTGGTTGGAATAAACCAAACCCCAAGATAATGCAATCCTAAATTGTAATAGAAGTCCCTTGCTCCTCATGGTAAAAATTGTTAGGTGCGACTTATAAGTGAAAAATAATAACATGTCAACATCTCGTAAATATTCTTTTGGAATCAGACTGGGTAGAAAGTGCTTATTGATGAAAGAAGCTAGAGAAGAGTAATGGCATTCTTATAAACATGGGCTGGAATGGTGGGCTCCACAATGGAAGAGGAGTCAGTGTCACCCTAAGAAGAAGAGGAAGAGGAAGACGTATATTTACAGCAGAGCCCAGGCCTTAATCTGTGATTCTCTTTTGCTAGTTTGGGTCGGCATATAGGTGATTAGACCTTGTTGAGAGCATTTTCCCCAATACATTTACACCTATCAACTCCTGACTCAGATNAGAAACATATGGGGGACAGACTGAGGTGTGTGAATGAGAGTGAGGGCTGAATAACAGTTGCCATTTTCCCTTTGGGATTCTTCTTCCATGCAGTTGGCAGGAGGGCACCATCTTACCTGTGTTACGCCCTCCCCCACACAGCCAAATCTGAATCTGATTGGCCTGGTGAGCTCCACTGCTCCACCCTGCTGATTCCCTGAGACTCTACCCCACCCAACTAGACCAACACTAAAGGCACATTCTCAGAAAGTAGCCAACCCTGTTCACATTGCACTCTTTCTTGGAAAATGATCAGAGTCCACAGGCCCCAGGCAAGCGGCATTTGGCCTTGGTGTGCTCTGAGACTTTTGCTGAGTAGCTTAGGACTGATACCAAATCAGCTTCTACATTAACCTGTTGATGACAGCTCTTCCCACTCTAGTGACTCCCTGAGACCTCATCTCAACCAACTTGCATACTGCATGAGGCTTTATCAGTGGCTGAATGTTAAGGAAGCCAGCAGGTGGCGGCAGGCCTTGCAGTGTCCTGGCATTTTGTGGAGCTACCCCAGACCTGGTACTGGTGGCAGCCATCCTTGGTTTGCAGTGTGGCCTCTCCCATGTGCCTCTAGGATTAGCACAGGAAGTAAACAACCATGGAATGCTTTGTAGCTCCTACCAGGTAGTCCCCAGCTGGTCACAGGCAGTGGGTGACCTAGACCTGTACCTGAGCCCCACCCAAGAGGCCCCAGAACCAACATACTTGGAGGTTGGTTTCAGACAACAGCAGAGCACTTCCCAATTAGCCCCCACAAGCAGCACACCCAAAGGGCAGTCTCAAGAGGCAGCAGAGCCCATTGGAGTGAATCCCACTCAGTGGGGTAAATCCTCCCCCTCCCCTCCCCGGCACCCTCCCACACACACACAGAGTAAGCCAGTAAGCTGTGGATGTGGTCAAACCCCACAGCCAATCAGTCTGACGGTCAATCCCAAACACTGAAGTGCCAATAGCAATCAAGGCTCATGTATAACAGGAGGGCACACACAACCCACACAAGGGACACTTCTGGAGCACCCAGAGCAGTGACCAGGGAGACTGCCAGGGCCCCACATGGCACCTACTACATAACGCTACCTGGCCAAGGCTTGGAGGCATAGCAGATATACCTAATGCATAAAAACAGAGAGGCAGCCAAAATAAGCAAACAAATAAATATGCCCCAAATTAAAGAACAGGAGAAAACTCCAGAAAAAGAAATAAATGAAATGAAGGCAAGCAATCTACTAGACAAAGAGTTCAAAACAATGCTTATAAGGATGCTCAAGGAACTTAGTGAGAACTTCAACAAACAGAAAGCAAGCACAAAAAATATATAGAAACCATAAAAATGAGCCAGCCAGAAGTGAAGAATAACTGACATGAAGAATGCCTTAGGAGGAATCACCAGCAGACTAGATGAAGCAGAGGATCAAAGCAGTGATTTGGAAGACAAGGTAGAAGAAAACACTCAATCAGAACAGCAGAAAAAAAAATGAGGATAGTTTAAGAGATCTCTGGGACAACATCAAGCATAACAATATTCACATGATAGGGGTACAGAAGGAGCAGAGAGAAAGCAAGAGATTGAAAACCTATTTAAAGGGAAAATGACTGAAAGCTTCCCTAACCTGGTGAAGGAAACAGACACACAAGTCCAGGAAGAGCAGAGAGTCCCTAACAAGAGGAACCCAAACAGGCCCACACCAAGACACATTGTAATTAGGATGGCAAAGTTTAAAGAGAAAGAGAGGATCCTAAAAGCAACAAGAAAAAGGCAACTATTAACTTATAAGGGAGCTCTCATAGGATTGTCAGCTGATTTTTCAACAGAAACTTTGCAGGCCAGAAGGACTGGCACAAATATTTAACATGATTAAAAGCAAGGACCTACACCCAAGGGTACTCTACCC